CTCTCCCCCCCCCTCCCCCACCCACGCAGGAAGCCACAAAACTGACAATGAAGGTCAAGGTAAAATAAAACAATACAAAGAAACCCACTTGACATGCTAAACCCTTGTCAACCCCCCCCCCCCCGCTGCTAACAACCTGCCCCTACCCCACATCCACACTCGCCTCCACCACTTACGTCCAAAACATCCGTCAATGCAACGTATTCCAAAAACACCAAATGGATTGTAGGAAAATTAAGGTGGGGGTGAGGGAAGAGGGTGGGTGGGGTTATAATACAAATAGTTTTTAAAACACCCCTGTTCTCCGCTCCTAAATTATTTTTTTTACTCCCGGGAATCTTTGATAATTAGATGAAGCAGAAAATCTTTTAGATTGAAGAGCAGAATGATGATGTCATTACCCTCTCTGTTCTACTTACAAGATATTAAAGAAATGTATCGGTATATACAGTGGCGTAGCGAGGTCGGGTGTCACCCGGTGCGGCACTTAATGGTGTCACCCCCCCCCCCCCCCCCCAGAGACGTAGCGACCCTTCCCGGGGACAATGTCAAATTTTCGATTTGCACCCCCCCCCCTCAAACTTTCGATTTGCACCCCCCCTCAAACTTTCGATTTGCACCCCCTCTCAAGTTTTCGATTTGCACCCCCCCCCCTCAAACTTTCGATTTGCACCCCCCCCCCTCAAGTTTTTCTCTATATATTTTGCTATTTTTTGCCTTGGTGTCACCCCCTAAATGGTGTCACCCGGTGCGGTCCGCACCCCCCGCCCCCCCCCCCTCGCTACGCCCCTGGGTATATATATATATATATATATATATATATATATATATATATATATATATATATATATATATATATATATATATATATATATATATATATATATATATATATTCTTTGTTTCTAAATGTATTTTTAAAATTAATTTAAATTGCACAACATCGTGTAATACAACCCCGTATTACAACACAACCTGCATAAAAATGTTTCTGTAGTGTATGTAGGGTAAAGTCTATTTAACCTGCATGAGCTGGGTTTTTTTTGAGCGATTGACGCTGAAGTCTATTTAAACCTGCATGAGCTGGGTTTTTTTTGAGCGATTGACGCTGAAGTCTATTTAAACCTGCATGAGCTGGGTTTTTTTTGAGCGGTTGACGCTGAAGTCTATTTAAACCTGCATGAGCTGGGTTTTTTTTTGAGCGATTGACGCTGAAGTCTATTTAAACCTGCATGAGCTGGGTTTTTTTTTTGAGCGATTGACGCTGAAGTCTATTTAAACCTGCATGAGCTGGGTTTTTTTTTGAGCGGTTGACGCTGAAGTCTATTTAAACCTGCATGAGCTGGGTTTTTTTTTTGAGCGATTGACGCTGAAGTCTATTTAAACCTGCATGAGCTGGGTTTTTTTTTGAGCGATTGACGCTGAAGTCTATTTAAACCTGCATGAGCTGGGTTTTTTTTTTGAGCGGTTGACGCTGAAGTCTATTTAAAACCTGCATGAGCTGGGTTTTTTTTTGAGCGGTTGACGCTGAAGTCTATTTAAACCTGCATGAGCTGGGTTTTTTTTTGAGCGGTTGACGCTGAAGTCTATTTAAACCTGCATGAGCTGGGTTTTTTTTGAGCGATTGACGCTGAAGTCTATTTAAACCTGCATGAGCTGGGTTTTTTTTTGAGCGGTTGACGCTGAAGTCTATTTAAACCTGCATGAGCTGGGTTTTTTTTGAGCGGTTGACGCTGAAGTCTATTTAAACCTGCATGAGCTGGGTTTTTTTTTGAGCGGTTGACGCTGAAGTCTATTTAAACCTGCATGAGCTGGGTTTTTTTTGAGCGGTTGACGCTGAAGTCTATTTAAACCTGCATGAGCTGGGTTTTTTTTGAGCGGTTGACGCTGAAGTCTATTTAAACCTGCATGAGCTGGGTTTTTTTTGAGCGGTTGACGCTGAAGTCTATTTAAACCTGCATGAGCTGGGTTTTTTTTGAGCGGTTGACGCTGAAGTCTATTTAAACCTGCATGAGCTGGGTTTTTTTTTGAGCGGTTGACGCTGAAGTCTATTTAAACCTGCATGAGCTGGGTTTTTTTTTGAGCGGTTGACGCTGAAGTCTATTTAAACCTGCATGAGCTGGGTTTTTTTTTGAGCGGTTGACGCTGAAGTCTATTTAAACCTGCATGAGCTGGGTTTTTTTTGAGCGATTGACGCTGAAGTCTATTTAAACCTGCATGAGCTGGGTTTTTTTTTGAGCGGTTGACGCTGAAGTCTATTTAAACCTGCATGAGCTGGGTTTTTTTTGAGCGGTTGACGCTGAAGTCTATTTAAACCTGCATGAGCTGGGTTTTTTTTGAGCGGTTGACGCTGAAGTCTATTTAAACCTGCATGAGCTGGGTTTTTTTTGAGCGGTTGACGCTGAAGTCTATTTAAACCTGCATGAGCTGGGTTTTTTTTTGAGCGGTTGACGCTGAAGTCTATTTAAACCTGCATGAGCTGGGTTTTTTTTGAGCGGTTGACGCTGAAGTCTATTTAAACCTGCATGAGCTGGGTTTTTTTTGAGCGGTTGACGCTGAAGTCTATTTAAACCTGCATGAGCTGGGTTTTTTTTGAGCGGTTGACGCTGAAGTCTATTTAAACCTGCATGAGCTGGGTTTTTTTTGAGCGGTTGACGCTGAAGTCTATTTAAACCTGCATGAGCTGGGTTTTTTTTGAGCGGTTGACGCTGAAGTCTATTTAAACCTGCATGAGCTGGGTTTTTTTTGAGCGGTTGACGCTGAAGTCTATTTAAACCTGCATGAGCTGGGTTTTTTTTGAGCGGTTGACGCTGAAGTCTATTTAAACCCCAAGCAAGCTAATATCTGCACGGGGCCCTATCTTTAGACTTACAAAATCTCATTTCATGAGTTGCTTCCCATTTCTTCACACTTGACCGGCCATACCCACGAGCAAGGCCCAGAATAAAATTTAGGGGGAAAAAATTTCTCGTTTGTAATAAACGCGTTCAATGGCGGTGCTCTGTCGCGTTCGTTGCGCGTGCATTTTGTTTTGTGTGATTAAGGTAAAAAATGTGTGGCTAGGACGTGTCACTAAGCTTGTCTGGGGATTTCTTACTCTTTACGTCTACTTAAAAAAATGTAGATCAGAATTAAGTTTCACATAGAGTGCATTCGCCCGTAGGTTTTAGATAGTACTTGGAACATATCAGAAAACATGTTTGTTGCTTGTTTGTAAGCGTACATATCAACATGATGGGGAGTGTGTTTTTCGTGTTGAAGTGGGTGGGCTTTTTTAAAATTTATTTGTTGTAGGGCTCTAGCATCTGTAATTACTTGATGAGTTCGGAAATACGGTGGTATTGCTTTGGAGAACTTGTTGTTTTTCGCAAATTTTTTTTTACAAAGCTTCATATTTGTTGGTTTAAGAGAATTTTATTCGTGTGTATCTTAGACTTCGCAAAGCAGTTTAGGAAGATGCTTAGCGTTTGTCTCTAAGAATTTGTTAAGAAACCGCTGTTTCAGGCGTTTGTACCCTAGTTATTGTTTTAAGGGTTCAGGAATAAATTGGGAAGTTTGTTGAGAACAGGCACGTAAGATGCAAAGCTGCTAAAATCATTCAGAGTTGGTGCTTTTCAGTTCACGTACGCACCGCACCGTGTTGTTTCTGGTGCGCAAGCCTATGTGTACTGTTGCAATGGTAATTTATTTCTGGTGCGCAAGCGCATGTGTACTGTTGCAATGGTAATTTGTTTCTGATGGTAATTTGAAACTGATTCAACAGGATTGTGTTTCCATCCTCCAACATTAATTTCTTACAGAACGTATACATTAACTTAATGACAATATTGTTTTTCAAGCGGTACAGTAGCAACGCATCTAAGTTTATTTCTTTACCACGAAGGGACAAACTATTAACAACTTAATCATAAATAACGTGTATACTACTATATCCGTTTTAAACAGAATTTGTTTCACGTTTTGGACCTACATACCAATTTAAGAAATCAAACGCATTTTTTTTTTCGAATTTTTCTTTAAATAAACTAAAGTTACATTTCATGGAACTGTCTTTTACCTTATGGTCTGAGCAATGTTGTTGAAGAAAGGGTCAAGGCCGAAGTTACAACAAAAACAATGTTTTTAGCGTCACGTGACAATTCAAATCTCCATTTCCCACACCCAAATCGTGAACACGGGATATTTCTTTGGTTGAAGAAAAAACAAGAAAAATAAAAATAAATTGTTTAATTACCCGCGGAGTCTGATAATTTGATAAAGAAACAAAACTCAAAAGGTCAGTTATTAGGTCATGCTGTAAGTCAACTAATTATGTATAAGTAGTGCAGCTAATGGGACAATCTGTAAGTAAACTTGCTGTAGGATTATTTTGTGTATCAATAATTAGACTAATCGGTGAGTCCGCTGATAGATCGATATGTTGGTTAATCAGAAGGTCAATCTGTAAGCTTAGCTCAATAATTAAGTCAATATGTAGGTTAACTAGAGGGTTAATTAATAGGTCACATGATAATCAATTAGTTGATATGTGGGTCAAGCTATAGCTCCGACTACAGGTAATTCTACAGGTGACGGCCATGACTATCCGCTGGTCCTTTTGTGATGTTTTTGTCAGTATGTCGTGTGTGTGTAACAGTTGTCTGGAAATTGTTTATCTATCAGGTGTGTGGAAGTTATGGATAGTCACACATAGCGTCACGCCATTTAGGAACTGACTTCAATTTTTTTTAAATCGTAAATTTTACAGTCAATACAATCTTATCAAGTTCAAATAATTTTAAAAATATGGGAAAAGGGGTAACACCAGACCAAAAATGCAAACTTCTTGAAAGTGGGGGGGTGCCACCCTTTGTGACAGCACGCGTGACACCCCACCCTAGTGACGCCACTGGTAGTCACAATATTGTATGTGTCTGTCAATAAGCGTGGATAATATACGTGTTGTGTTAAAATACATTTCACAAATGTGTACCCTATAATCAACTATGTTTTTTCTCTCCCCTAGACTTGACGTCAGCTAAGGCTGTGAGGTTAAACGATGGATACTTATCATCTCTAGACACCCGTGCCAAAAAAAATTGTAAGTATCTCGTGATTACCCCACCTCCTAATTACAAAATTAATATAATTAAATTACAAGTTAATTAAAATTATAATAATACAATTGTTAATTTAACACTTGGGATCCGTAACAAAAATCCTAATCCTAACTGTGACCATAACATAATCTAATAGTTTAAGACTAATCTTCGGACCCCAAGCACAACAGTATTCCAACACCCGCTAGAAAATCGTTGAGAAGTCTTAAACTTCATTTCATGAACAAAAATGGTTTTGTATTTTTAATTCATTACGTTGAAGTCATCTTTAATTGGATGTTAACATGCACAAAAAACGTGCTCAAATCTTGCTGGGTACCGCTAAAAGCCTGAATGACAAAATTAAAGCCAGGTAACCAAGGGAAGTGCTATGACAGAAGTTACCAAAATAACCCCGAGTATTTTGTTCTTTTTATTTTAATTTTACGTCAAAAATGAAGCCGAGTTTAACAAAAGTTGAACGAATTTTAACAAACGATTGACGAAATTTAACAAAATGTTAAAGGAATTTAACAAAAGGTTCACGAAATTTATCAAAAGGTTAACGAAATTTAACACACCTTCAACTGGTTGTAACAAACATTTTACGAAATTTAATAGAAGTTTGACGTTTTGCAAAAATTGTACAAAAGGAACCTACTACGACAGAAAGAGTATGTACCAAAGTTTGCTATCTCTGACCGTTCCTCTGTTAGGGTTAGGTTTAATATTAGTAAAAAGTCCAAGATTAATGTAATCTAAGGATTAAGAAACTAACACAAAAAAAGAAAAGAACAAAACACATCCTACTGCCTTTCATTAAACTACAAAAGATATGCCTCATGTTGATCGATACACTACTGATTTTAAGGAAGTCTATGATTGTCTAAGACAGGGGTCTCCAAACTACGGCCCGCGGGCCGGATGCGGCCCGCGATGTCCTCTCATCCGGCCCGCGGAGATCTTTTTGTCCACGGAAAAATCGTTTGTTGGTGATGGCTGAGGAACTTTGCCCAGTGAAATAAAAGACATACCTGGAAGAAACTGGCCCCCGAACTGAAATTTGATAGTTAATGCGGCCCACGGACTCAAAAGTTTGGAGACCCCTGGTCTAAGACATACAAGTAAGGTATCGATGGATATCAATGTATCAGTTGGGTTCAACTGAGATGAATACAAAAAAATGCCTTGAAATTCATTCCAAATTGATAGGGCGAGGATGATGCTCGTCAATTCAAACATGTGGTTGCCGGAAATAGAATACAAATCATGAGCAAACAATGTCACGTGATCTGCTGTTTAGGCACGTGGGAGGTCAAGCCGGCGTTAAAAAAAAGGTGCCGTCTGCCACTTGTTTTAGGTGGAGGTTGATTGATGGGGTGGGTGTGGGAGGGGGGGTTAGGAAAGGGACATCAATACACTTCACTTGTTGACATGGCGACCTGTGAGATTCATGGAGGCAAACGCTTCTGGAATAGAGGACTGTGTTTAGGACTTGGGGAGGAATAGGACGATTGATGAAATCTTAGGACTTTGTTCAAAGGTCGTGTCGTGTAGAAGGTTTGAAATTTTTTCGGCAGGAACAAAAACCATGCAGGGGAGTTGTACGATTGGGGGGATATTTAAAACAAGATGGGAAGATGATAGGGGAGGGTAGATTATTGGTAGGAAAATACAGTATGTAGGTAGGACAATGTAGTAGGTAGGTAGGACAATATAGTAGGTAGGACATTGTAGTAGTAGGTAGGACAATATAGTAGGTAGGACATTGTAGTAGTAGGTAGGACAATATAGTAGGTAGGACAATGTAGTAGGTAGGACAATGTAGTAGGAGGTAGGACAATGTAGTAGGTAGGACAATGTAGTAGGAGGTAGGACAATGTAGTAGGTAGGACAATGTAGTAGGAGGTAGGACAATGTAGTAGTTTGGTAGGACAATGTAGTAGTTTGGTAGGACAATGTAGTTATAGGTAGGACAATGTAGTAGTAGGTAGGACAATGTAGTTATAGGTAGGACAATGTAGTAGTTTGGTAGGACAATGTAGTAGTAGGTAGTACAATGTAGTTATAGGTAGGACAATGTAGTAGTAGGTAGGACAATGTAGTAGTTTGGTAGGACGATGTAGTAGTTTGGTAGGACAATGTAGTAGTTTGGTAGGACAATGTAGTTATAGGTAGGACAATGTAGTAGTAAGTAGGACAATGTAGTAGTAAGTAGGACAATAGGTAGGTAGGACAATGTAGTGGATAGGTAGGACAATTTAATAGTAGGTAGGACAATGTAGTAGTAACTAGGACAATAGGTAGGTAGGACAATGTAGTGGGTACGTAGGACAGTTAGTATAGTAGGTGAGTAGCCGATGTTGAATTTTTATAGAACAATTTAGTAGGAGGGTTGGACAATGAAATTAGATTGTGAAACAACATGCCCTAACCTTCGTGACTAATTAACAATCATTAACATTCATTAACATTCATTCCGCTTCTAAACGTAACAATTTCTCGGTGGCATGGTACGGCTAACCCAATTGTAGCAACACAAAAAAAGTTTTTAAAACGGTGATGGAATTCAAAGTGATAAAATACAATTAATTATTTTTATGTGATTAATTATCGAACTGTCGTGTTGAATTTCTGCCTTACAAGTTGGGTGAAAACGTGACTGCTAGAATTACGGGCCTTGCTGTGGAAGGAGCAGAGTTTTTGCCCTTTGTTGGGGTCCTGTATTTCCGGGGTGAGATCTCGCTAGCCGCCACGTCTTGAGAAAGTGGGGTAAATCCTCAAAGCAGGAAGTTACGTCACAAGTTGATTATCACGTGACTCGGGTGGGATGGGTACACGTGAACGTTTACCAAGCAGGGCATTTACTTAGTGTTCACAGTGGACAACTATTCACATCCGTGAACTCTTCGTAAAGAGTCACAGAGGACATAAGTACCATGTCATACAAAGGACATTAGAATTGTGTTACACAGAGGACTTTAGTACTGTGTTACAAAGAGGACATTAGTACCGTGTCCCTGCCCAACGTGCAGTACATTGAAGCACTGTTACACCTTCAGTTCTCATCTCAAAGTTCCCGTCACTGGGGTAGCTACAAGAATCCCGTCCAGCTGGGAACCACCTCTACCCCCCCGTCCAGCTGAGAACCATCTCTACCCCCCTACCCCCCGTCCAGCTGAGAACCATCTCTACCCCTCCCCCGTCCAGCTGGGAACCATCTCTACCCCCCCCCCCCCGTCCAGCTGAGAACCATCTCTACCCCCCCGTCCAGCTGAGAACCATCTCTACCCCCCCCCCCCCGTCCAGCTGGGAACCATCTCTACCCCCCTACCCCCCCCCATCCAGTTGGGAACCATCTCTACCCCCCCCCCCCCCCATCCAGCTGGGAACCATCTCTACCCCCCCCGTCCAGCTGGGAACCATCTCTACCCCCCCCCCCCCCGTCCAGCTGAGAACCATCTCTACCCCCCTACCCCCCCCCCCCCCGTCCAGCTGAGAACCATCTCTACCCCCCTACCCCCCGTCCAGTTGGGAACCATCTCTACCCCCCCCCCCGTCCAGCTGGGAACCATCTCTACCCCCCCCCCCCCATCCAGCTGGGAACCATCTCTACCCCCCCCCCCCGTCCAGCTGGGAACCATCTCTACCCCCCTACCCCCCCCCCCATCCAGTTGGGAACCATCTCTACCCCCCTACCCTCCCCCGTCCAGCTGAGAACCATCTCTACCCCTCCCCCGTCCAGCTGAGAACCATCTCTACCCCCCTACCCCCCCCCCCCCGTCCAGCTGAGAACCATCTCTACCCCCCTACCCCCCGTCCAGCTGAGAACCATCTCTACCCCCCTACCCCCCGTCCAGCTGAGAACCATCTCTACCCCCCTACCCCCCGTCCAGCTGGGAACCATCTCTACCCCCCCCCCCCGTCCAGCTGAGAACCATCTCTACCCCCCTACCCTCCCCCGTCCAGTTGGGAACCATCTCTACCCCCCTACCCTCCCCCGTCCAGCTGAGAACCATCTCTACCCCCCTACCCTCCCCCGTCCAGCTGGGAACCATCTCTACCCCCCTACCCCCCGTCCAGCTGAGAACCATCTCTACCCCCCCCCGTCCAGCTGAGAACCATCTCTACCCCTCCCCCGTCCAGCTGAGAACCATCTCTACCCCCCCCCCCCATCCAGCTGGGAACCATCTCTACCCCCCCCCCGTCCAGCTGGGAACCATCTCTACCCCCCCGTCCAGCTGGGAACCATCTCTACCCCCCCCCCCCCATCCAGCTGGGAACCATCTCTACCCCCCCCCCCCCCCCGTCCAGCTGGGAACCATCTCTACCCCCCTACCCCCCCATCCAGTTGGGAACCATCTCTACCCCCCCCCCCCCCCATCCAGCTGGGAACCATCTCTACCCCCCCCCCCCCCCGTCCAGCTGAGAACCATCTCTACCCCCCTACCCCCCCCCCCCCCGTCCAGCTGAGAACCATCTCTACCCCCCTACCCCCCCCCCCCCGTCCAGCTGAGAACCATCTCTACCCCCCTACCCCCCGTCCAGCTGAGAACCATCTCTACCCCTCCCCCGTCCAGCTGAGAACCATCTCTACCCCCCTACCCCCCCCCCCCCGTCCAGCTGAGAACCATCTCTACCCCCCTACCCCCCGTCCAGCTGAGAACCATCTCTACCCCTCCCCCGTCCAGCTGAGAACCATCTCTACCCCCCTACCCCCCCCCCCGTCCAGCTGAGAACCATCTCTACCCCCCCCCCCCCCCCCGTCCAGCTGAGAACCATCTCTACCCCCCTACCCCCCCCCCCCCGTCCAGCTGGGAACCATCTCTACCCCCCCCCCCCGTCCAGCTGAGAACCATCTCTACCCCTCCCCCGTCCAGCTGAGAACCATCTCTACCCCCCTACCCCCCCCCCCCGTCCAGCTGAGAACCATCTCTACCCCCCCCCCCCCGTCCAGCTGAGAACCATCTCTACCCTCACTTCCCCCAACCATTTGCGCTACTTCCTCTTTGTCCCTGTACTAAAAAGACCGGCAAATATTCACGGCTGCATGTGAGTTGAGAAAACCCTGGGGACATAGAGCGATGAAGCTGGTAGCTGTGCTGAAGCCGTGTGGTCCCAGCTGGTCTTAACAAGCTCAGCGAGCCAGAAGCCAACCAACTTTAGCCTACTCGTGCTGAGAATTTATCTGGCAACACTTCCTGGGGTGGGGCATGGGGGACGGGGGGGGGTACCGTGCACAGTCCTATCATGTTTGGTGAGAGTAAATATGACTTCTAAAACAGTAGAGTAGATATATTTCCTAAATCGTGAGTAGAATAATTTAACAGCAGCCTTCCATCAACATTGAACTAGTACCAAGTTAGATTTGAAGAGATAACCCAGTGAACTAGTGAACTAGCAATACATCGCATTTGATCGATTTTTACTGATCTTAATATGATTAAAAATAAAGTCCAATTCTAAATATATTTTTTGTCTCTTTAATACCTCTTAAATAAATAATAATTAATGAATCTTGATACATTTTGGGGCTTCCATTTATAGTACCTATAAAAAATCAATCCCCTTGCCCCCCCCCCCCCCCCCCCCCCATCCTATCATTCAAAGCTCCGCCACTGAATTCATAACTCAACTACCGAACTAGTTTTTATTAATTTCGCATTGAATCACCACCAAGTATAGCCACCGACGAAAATAAATATGGCGTGTGCCCGTGCTTTTCTCTGGGCCAGCTGCTAGTAATATTTCTCCCGTCCGCCTAGTTGTCGCGATGGTCCATTAAACAGCCTAATGCACTTGAAGCCAACTTGAATCTATAGTTCTATTCGCGCGACACAGGACGTAAACATTCACGCTTATAACTCAACGGAGAGCGCGGATATTTGTCTCGTTCTATTTTATTGTCTAGAGTCTAGAAGAAACGAGCTTCTAGAACATGCTAGGTTAGACGTCACAGTATGAAGTGAACATTTCAACTACCTGCAATGGTGGGGGGGGGGGGGAGGGGTCGAGTTTTACAGGTGATGATTTTATGACATGAAACTGGGATGTCGATTTTGTAAGCTTTGGGATAGAACACAAAACTGAGATGTCGATTTTGTAAGCTTTGGGATAGAACACAAAACTGGGATGTCGATTATGTAAGCTTTGGGATAGAACACAAAACTGGGATGTAGATTATGTAAGCTTTGGGATAGAACACAAAACTGGGATGTAGATTATGTAAGCTTTGGGATAGAACACAAAACTGGGATGTCGATTATGTAAACTTTGGGATAGAACACAAAACTGGGATGTCGATTATGTAAACCTTGGGATAGAACACAAAACTGGGATGTCGGTCATGTAAACTTTGGGTTAGAACACAAAACTGGGATGTCGGTCATGTAAACTTTGGGTTAGAAGATAGATCTTGTCGCTTCTTGGACGTCAGTGGTTTTCTGGAGACACAAGAAAAACCTATTTCAAATTATTTCTCTTTTTTTACAAGCTTTTATTTAACTCACTTCCTCTGTCGTCAGTCGTCAGTCTAGATTGAAACGCTGGAGTGAAAATTCGGACACTTCTACTTGACCGACACGATTCACATTTGGCACGTTGGTCAAGACATGAAACTAAATTTGACTTAATTGGATGCCTAATTAATTTTTTATGAATTAATTAAAATTTGGACCGAATTAGTAGGCATGCTTATCCGACCACACCACACGCGTCATCACGTTCAATAGCTGCGTCATCACGTTCAATGGCTGCGACATCACATTCAGTAGGCGCGCAATGGTTCTTAGTCATATAACTCTATTGTAAATAAAACATGTAAAGTACTGAAAAAAAATTCTTAAAAAAACGTTTTAATAACAAGCTTTTATTTAATAATGCACTAAAAAGTAGAAAATAAATTATACACTACTATTTAAATTACTTTAAAGAAAAGCGTGGGTCTCTTCTCAAATATTAGTAAAGGTATCCAATAGGTACTAAAGTGACCCACGCTTTTCTTTATAGTAATTTAAATAGTAGTGTATAATTTATTTTCTACTTTTTAGTGCATTATTACATAAAAGCTTGTTATTAAAACGTTTTTTTTTATGAATTTTTTAAAATGTCTGTTAGTTAAATTTAGCAACCAAAATATGAGAAATGTTTTATTTAAATGGTTAAGACGATTTAAAAACTTGCATTGGTTATTAGTGTTTGAACATTTTGGAGAATTATCTTTTTTATAGAAATTTTTGTATTTGGAACTTTTAAAGAAACTTTTATTTTAAACTTTTTGTGGGTAATTTTCGTTGAACCGATTTGTTTTTGGTAATTTTGAAGTTAATGTTTTAAATTTTTTTTGCTGAAACTTTGATAGAAATTTCTTCCCGTATCCTTGACCTTGTACTCAGTCATGACTGCTCACAACATCAAACGATCACGTGACAATGTCAAGCCTCAGTTCCTCTCTACGTATTTTGTCTATTTTTCCCCCGAAGGGGAGGTGGGGTAGGGAGGGGCTGAAACTCCCGAGGTCAGACGTATTATCACAATTTTTGCAACAAGCAGCGCGCTGTATTTTCTGCGAGTTTTTCAACATAAATACCGTAATTAAACCCTTTTAAAACCTCGTTTAGTGTCGAACCCTGGTTGTTTTTTAAAGGGTTTAATTAATACGGAAATAATGGGGTGGGCGGGGCAGTCGTCACGTGGTAAATACAGGTCAATGAACTCTGGGAGGCTGGCAGACGTGAGGGGTGATATTAGCAGATGTGATGTCATGTCATGGGGACGTGACTGCTGACATGTTATGGATAGGTGACTGCTGACATGTCATGGGATTGACGACTGACATCACGTCAGGGAAATGACTATCGACATGCCTTCATTTACTGACAAGAATATTTTAGAAGCAGATTTTATTTTCTCAAGTATATAAAAATATTTTTTATAGTTTTTTCATAAGTCGTAATTACGTCAGGTTTTAAGGTAGGTGACGATTAATGAGTTTGCCAGTTTTTAGACTCAGGTTAGGGGTCGGCGTGGTCGAGTCGTTAAAGCTCATGGTTGCTAAACCGAAAAGTCTCGAGTTCGAACCCTGGGGACAGCCACTCTTCTAGGAGAGGCAACTCCAAAATCAAACAACTGCTGCCGTGTAGATTGTTCTTGGTTGGACAAAGGCTATGGAAGCAAATCCAAAAAGAAAAGCAGGCTGAAATCGGAGTCAATGGCCTCAATGGCGCATAACGTATCCCTAATTGTGTTGGAGGCGTGGTCGATTCGGCAAAAAGCTCATGGTTGATAAATTCGAAAAAGTCTCGAATACCCACTGGCAGATAAATCTCGATCCCTTTCAACTGTAAAAATTAAGAACGAAGAAGAAGACTCAGGTTGAAAGGCCAAGGGTCAAGCCTTTTGGGCGCGGGTCATGTTCGCATCCCAACACACGGGTCAGGATTCTTAAAACAAGGGTCACTTTAAAAAGATTTCTAAAATAACGTTTTTTTTTCTCTCGGGTGCGGGTCAGATGATAAGGGTTTGACTAAGAATGGAATCGATTCAACAGCTAAATACTCCGGCAGAATATTATGCGAAACTTTTATCATTTGATTTTTGCGCGAAACATGTATCATTTAGATTGTGTATGTGTGTATGTGTGTGTATGTGTGTGTATGTGTGTATGTGTGTGTATGTGTGTATGTGTGTGTATGTGTGTGTATGTTTGTGTATGTGTGTATGTGTGTATGTGTGTGTATGTGTGTATGTGTGTGTATGAGTGTGTATTTGTGTGTATGTGTGTATGTGTGTGTATGTGTGTGTATGTGTCTGTATGTGTGTGTATGTGTGTGTATGTGTGTGTACGTGTGTAAGTGTGTGTATGTGTGTGTATGTGTGTATGTGTGTGTATGTGTGTGTATATGTGTGTATGTGTGTGTATGTGTGTGTATGTGTAGTCTGCGAACCGCTAGAGGCGTAGGCAGCAAAAAAAATTTAAAAAACATCGCAAATCAAAAATCAAATTACCTGATAATTATCAAGGCTAAAATATCCAACTTCAACCACAACGAGGCTTAAAATAGACCCAACAATAGCATACAACGACCACAATCAGTACACCATTTAATAACAAGATGGGCTGACAAGATGGGCTGTTCATAAGTTTGAACTATTCAACGACTTCATCATTGAACCGCCACTAAATAAAGTGCCGCACTTATCTTAAAATGTCACGTTTTTCGCCCGCTTAAACCGTGAGGCCTTGAATCGTGAATCAACGCTTGTTTTATTGCAAGCAAAGGATCATTTAAACGTGTAAAAACACTTAAGAGTTCCCCAGATGATTCGCGTTTTTAATGTTAAGGAAAAATTGTTTCTTTTTTCGCGACGCTATTAAACATGTCCACCTTAACTTCAAATACGGAGGAATTTTTTTTTTAATTGTGGCGGCCGAATACAGGACGGTGCTGTTATACATGGGTAGGGATTGGGGGGGGGGGGGTGTATGCTGTTTAATAGGTAAGGCTTTTATACCTAGAGACGGTGCTATTGTACCTGCAGACATGGGGAGAGGGGGGGGGGTGATGCTTAATCCTAGGGTCACAGTCGCTGTTGTAGACACAGGACTGGTTGAGAAGTCGGTTAGACCGCGGGAAATCGAATTTTTTAAAAATCTATCACTTTTTTCATTAGCCAACCGGATACTGTAGCATTAAGTCGCTCAACCTAGAATTAGAAGATTTAAAAAAAAATTAATCCATGAATGTAACTGTTAAATATATGTATCAATTCGTACCTCATTAACATTCCCCCTCCCCGATTTATGACATTGTGAATTTGTGAATGAACATTTAAATTTCTATTTCAGCCTGGTGGAGCAAGAAGTCACTAGATTCTTCCAATGATTACCAAAGTCTTCTTCAAGGTAAGAATTTAAACATGTTGCTTTTGTAGCACCACTACCATCATAAATATCCTCATCATTATTTGTATAGTATAGCAACACAACCGCATCTCTGCAGTCAACACTGTTTTGGCGGCTGCTTTGTTTTAGTATAGTAGACAGAATTAGGCCCTACCCCATTTACATGAATGCTAACTCTAATCCACATATGAATACTAACTCTAACCCACATATGAATAATAACTCTAACCCACATATGAATACTAACTCTAACTCACATATGAATACTAACACACAGTGGCGTAGCGAGGTCGGGTGTCACCCGGTGCGGCACTTAATGGTGTCACCCCCCCAGAGGCATAGAGACCCTTCCCAGGGACAAACTTTCAAATTTTCGATTTGCACCCCCCCCCCCCCCCCCTCAAACTTTCGATTTGCACCCCCCCCCCTGGAGTTTTCGATTTGCACCCCCCCCCCCTCAAACTTTCGATTTGCACCCCCCCTCGAGTTTTTCTCTATATATTTTGCTATTTTTTGCCTTGGTGTCACCCCCCTAAATGGTGTCACCCGGTGCGGTCCGCACCCCCCGCCCCCCTCGCTACGCCCCTGCTAACACATACCCTCCTTTATTTCAGACTTGAAAAGCTATGATACAAGCGAATTCATCGATTCCAAGGATACAATAATCTCCCTCTTCAGTGAGTATATACTCTCTTGTCTCGTTGCTATGGTTACACATGAATCGTATGCTTCATTAACACAATTATTTAAATTACAAATTATTCTTTTTTTTTTAACTTGAATGTCACCGCCTCTGTCGTGATTATCAAGATGTCACTGTAGAAACAGTGTGTCAGTGACGTCAGCTTTGCTGTGGTTGTCGGTTAATGACATCACGATCTAACCTTTGGGGGGAAATGACTTCTGTTACTATATTCTAGGTGGTGTAAGCCGGGGGGGGGGGGGTTAAACATGTAATGTTCTCATACGATTAGGAAAAAAATTATTAAATCCTGTAATTGTACAATAGATTTAGGATTATTTTATTGCTGAGTTGAGGGCAGGGGATGGTAAACTGTAAGGTACAAAAGGGTTAGGAAGGGAGGGGGTGGGGGGCCTGGCCTCTGTGACCACATTTAGCGGCATAAAATGTGGAATAGGGCCTACTGACCGTCTTGGAAACGCCGACGTAATACAACACTGTTGATGGCGTTTAAACGCGGCGTGATACTACTTTAGAGCAAGAATACAGCAAAACCATTGCTAGAAACTCAACTTTACAAATAATTAGTTGACTCTAAGTTTTTGTTAGATATTTTTTTAAACTATTGAAATATGGTTTAAATTTGTTAAATCTGTTTTCAAATCCAATATCACCGATAAATACAATTTCAATAAATGTTCGTGTAGAATTAAGTTAAGTTTTTAAACAAAGTGTTGGTGTTGAGTTTTTGTCAGTCGATCACGACAATGTTGTTTATATTGTTCCAGGGTAGAGGGAATGTTTCGTGTTTTTTTCATTGAGATTCAATTTACTTGAGACTAAACTTTCAGCACTTTCGTTTCAAGTGGTTTGGTGTAATGTTAACGATTCCATTAAAAGTGGTGGCTTGATTGTTGGCAATACAACTGGGAGAGCTACCACTTCAGTGCGTGTGTTTTATTTATTTACATTCAATAGCCGCTGGGGGGCGCAAACTTCAACCTTGCTGCACTCGTTATAGATGCCGATGGGGTGGGGGGGGGGGGGGGAGGATCTCGAAGCGTAGGCGGGCAATTTGACTAAAAGGGCATTTAAGATGGAAGAGGGGCGCGGGTGGATCTGGTTTCAAAGTTTAGCCTTAGTTAGCTTGGTCGAGTGGCAGGCCGCACATGCAGTGGTATGAAGAGCTAGAGTTCAGATCCATCCTCGACAAAAGACGTGGTTCAGAGCTAAAGAAAACAGACACGATCGCGGCATGATCAATTACTATGGCCACAGATTAGCTCTACTCCACCTACCCAACAGAGATTTTACCTTTAGATTCCCGGAGCAGGCTTGACATTTAAATACAGTTGGCGAAGAAAAAAAAACAACGCCGCCAGCCTACATTACTAGCGCCATCATATCACTTACTACATCATACAATATGCGCATATTTAACGACTTGATGAAACTTAGCTAATGTTCGATTCTCCGTTTCATTTTCAAGTGTAAAATGAAAATGCTCTTATTAAAAATGAAAATGTTATTTAGTATTGGATTACGCTTTATTTTTAATAGGTAGACGATACGTGAATACATTGCTAATGTTCCGTAACAAGAAAATATTGAGCGCGGTTATGTATGGATAAAACAAAACAAAAAATGTCTAATTCAAAAACTAAATTATTGTCGCTTTAAAGTTCGTTCTCCTGGAGAAAATTGAAAATGTGGGATCATGAATGATCGGATTCTCTTAAACAAAATCGGCCAACACTGCTATCAAGTTTAAGATTGTTTTAAGTTGATTGAATGAAAGGTGGGCCAAGTTGAGTAGGGTCATGATGGGGTCAAGGGGTCAGGCTGAGGTCAGAGTTCTGGTCGTACTAACGCTCTGGCAGCCGAGTTCAGTATAGGTGAGCTCTACTCCACCTGCCCCATGGCTGTTTTGATAATGTACTTTATTCATTACGTGGAATCGTGATTAAATGTTTATCGTACTGTCTACTCGGCCGCTTTGTTATTTTGCTGCCTTGTCCGGCCGTTTGGTTGTGTTGGTAATTAATTCGTACGGTTGTGTTGACTTCAAGAAACCATGTGACAACATATATTTCATCTCCATTTTGTCGAGACATCTTTCTTTTCCCACTCATACGCCCCCGTAATTTCTCTTTGTTTTTTTCTCACTCGAACTCATTTTCTTTTTTTCATAACACGGCAGAGATTTGCAATTTTTTACAACATTCCCTCGATCTCCACAACTTAAACATGTTTATGTTGAAATGTTTATCTCTAAATAAACACGAACACTTACAAAAAAAACGACGTAAACAGTTTGTAAATTCTGGTGTGGTCTCGTTAAACGCGTCTGTGGAATCATTTATTAATTATGTTGGATACGCTTTGTGGGCGCCATTATTGGGTTAGGGTGCTGGTTATGTGGGCGCCATGTTTGTGTTAGGGTGCTGGTTATGTGGGCGCCATGTTTGTGTTAGGGTGCTGGTTATGTGGGCGCCATGTTTGGGTTAGGGTGCTGGTTATGTGGGCGCCATTGTTGAGTTAGGGTGCTGGCTTTGTGGGCGCCATTATTAGGGTAGGGTGCTGGCTATGTGGGCGCCATTATTGGGTTAGGGTGTTGGTTCTGTGGGCGCCGAGTTTGGGTTAGGGTGCTGGCTATGTGGGCGCCATTATTGGGTTAGGGTGCTGGCTTTGTGGGCGCCATTATTGGGTAGGGTGCTGGCTATGTGGGCGCCATTATTTGGGTAGGGTGCTGGTTATGTGGGCGCCATGTTTGGGTTAGGGTGCTGGTTATGTGGGCGCCATTGTTGAGTTAGGGTGCTGGCTTTGTGGGCGCCATTATTTGGGTAGGGTGCTGGCTATGTGGGCGCTATTATTTGGGTAGGGTGCTGGCTATGTGGGCGCTATTATTTGGGTAGGGTGCTGGCTATGTGGGCGCCATTATTTGGGTAGGGTGCTGGCTATGTGGGCGCCATTATTTGGGTAGGGTGCTGGCTATGTGGGCGCCATTATTTGGGTAGGGTGCTGGCTATGTGGGCGCCATTATTTGGGTAGGGTGCTGGCTATGTGGGCGCTATTATTGGGTTAGGGTGCTGGCTATGTGGGCGCCATTATTTGGGTAGGGTGCTGGCTATGTGGGCGCCATTATTTGGGTAGGGTGCTGGTTATGTGGACGCTATTGTTGGGTTAGGTTGCTGTCTCTGTGGGTGCCATTACCGGCGTCTTAGAAAATTGCTGCGTCTTATAGACTTAATGAAATAATTAGCGGTTAATATTTATACCTTAATGAAATACCTAACACTCAACGCAATGTTCGGAAATAACTAGCACTTTTAAATATTTAGCGCTTACGTTAAAGAAATGCTTAGCGCTTAAAGAAATTATTATAGCTTAATTAAATACCTAGAGCGTTTAATGTAATGCTTGGCTCTTAAAGAAATGCCAAGCACCTTAAAAATGTTGAGCGCTTACGCTAAAGAAATACTTAGCGTTGGAAGAAAAGTGCTTAGCACTGTAAGAAAAATTTACCTTTGGTAAAGAGGGTATTGTTATGTGATTATCAGTGTTTGGGGAAGACTTTTTTAAAATATGCCCGTGTAGGGTGAGACAAAATATAATTTATTCGTTTCATGAAAGGATCTCAGAAAAATGCGTCACAGAAAATTGCGTAAAGAAAAACTCATTACACTAATACAATTTCATCGGGTTGAATATCTGAAAAATGTCTATCCTACTATGTGCATGTTTTCATTCTTTGTTGTTTTTTTTTTTTTTTTTTTTTGTTTTATTCCCTTGCGCATTTTTTGTGCGCATTTAACGGTAGTGCAATTTTCCGTAGCGCATTCTTCCGGACGCCGTTATTGTATACTCAAAAATAGGTCTACGGAAACAACGTAGAGTTTTATTTAACAACGTATTCAACACTAGTTCCGGTTCCGGTACTCTGCAAAAAATCACGTGGTTAGTTGGCATTGAATTTTGTGTACATTTTGTATTGAAATTCAAGGACATAAAGTTAAATGAGGAGAACATATTGAACGTTTTTTAAATCCTATTTAAGCTTTTGATTACAAAGTTGGGAGGGGGGGGGGAACGAACGGAAATTTAAAAGTAAGGTATACTATTTCAGTGAATACATATACTTGATGAAAACAAAATTAAATCAGCTTAAATGTCATATATAATATAATGCGAGCGTAGCTGACATTTAAAATAGATGATGTCATCGCCAGCCATAGATTCTCAGGACCGAGTCAGTGACCTTTTATGGAGGATTTTTAAAATTTTACTTACATTTCATGTGAATACGACACGCTGAAATAGATATGAACGAAATTAAAGAGTGAATGAAAAATATGCAATGTATACGGGTGTACGTACGGAGGCAGTGATCAACAAACGACTTTATGTAATCTGTGAGATTCTCGTGAATAATGTATGGGAGGTAAAATACGTCCGTTCTTCTTCTATCGTTGATTTATCTCATTTCGGTGAGATGAGCAAGTAAAATTTCGTAGGTAGGCGGGGAAATATCGCTGGTATTATTTGAAGCGTGGGACGAACACACTCACTCTGGATCGGTTACGTTTGTCCTGCTTTAGTGGGCGCGTTGCATTAGTTTGGGTACAATCACGACCGGCTTGTCACTTTGTTGGCCATAGTTTTCACGGAATTTTGGCTGTTGTTTTGGCCCTAATTTTGGTCATAGTTTTGGCCCTAATTTTGGTATAATTTTGGCCCTAGTTTTGGTGTAATTTTGGCCCTATTTTTTAGCCCTAGTTTCAGGCCTAGTTTCGGCCCTAGTTTTGTCCAAGGTTTGCGATCCCTGAATGATCATTACTGACCACTCTGAGGGTAGCTACTTCTATGCTCTCAACAGTCTTGTCACTATTGCAGTCTGCTGTGATCAAAACACAGTCACTCTGCTTCACCTACCTGAAACCCTAACAGTTCACAAAACGAATATTTATCACATTTTAACGCAGAAATTCATTTGTG